TATATATATATATATATATATATATATATATATATATATATATATAGTACTAATAGTACTATTATGTTTATAGTTTTTTACACCATTATGTGTAAAAAACTGTTATTTTAATTCTAAACACAATGATTGTGTGTTTATTATATATAAATGTATATTTATATTCTTATAAATAATATTTATAATAATAAATAATATATTTATACAATATAAATAATACTATAAATATTATTATATTTATTATTATCATAAATATTACAATAATATTTATTGTTACAATAATATTTATTATTAAATTATAATTCTATAATTAAATTAATTTATAATTAATTATTATTAATTATTCGGCTCTTGGAACGTGGAATGTTTCTTCTTTGAGATTAGAGAAATCATTCCCAGGACAGATCTCTCTTCATGGGTCCAGTCTTCTAATGCCGCTTTCGTCAGCGCAGACGTTGAACTTTTAGACTCAACGGTCTCCTTGTCACCGCAAACTTCCCCAGCCGGGGAAGTTTCTTCTTTGAGATAAGAGAAATCGTTCCCAGGACAGATCTCTCTTGATGGGCCAGCCTTCTAATGCCGCCGTCATCAGAGCAGAGGTTCAGCTTTTGGATGCCTCTTTTTCCTCCTTATCGCTCCAACCCTTCTCAATCTGTGCACTTTAGGAAGATTGGAGAAATTGTTCCCTTCATCACTGTTCTCGCCATCAGACCGACCTGAGTGATCTATCCGTTTGCTGTGGCCTGATGTGACTTTTCAGACCGATCTTTCAGACCGATCTGTCTGAAAACTCGTAGAATGGCCTGATGAGTTTTGCAGTGAAGTTTGCTTCACAGTCGGGGAAGGTTTGAAGAGATACAAGTCAAATTCATCGTACTCATACTCATCCTTGTAACTACTGATGTCAAAAGTGACCCCAGGAAGTAGCTTGTTAAATAGCTTCCTCACTCCTGTGGTGATCAAATAACCTGCTCCAAACGTCAGGGGAAAAAACATGGTGGTGACTCCGATCTGTTGCATTGTCAAAATATTTTTCAAACACGGTGCTAACAATCAAAAAGCTGCTTGTATATAACCTCCTGTTTTATGATCCAAGCATTCATAACCTCAGATGTTCTTTGATCTATGTCATAGATGAGGTCATAGCTACAATGAGTCTCTGTAGTTCTAGGGCAGTGGTTCTTAACCTTTTTTGAGGTACCGAACCCCCCAGTTTCATACGCGCATTCACCGAACCCTTCTTATCCCCATCGAACCCAGGTTAAGAACCACTGTTCTAGGGGAATGACCTGCTTCTGATCGTTGCTATGGAAACGGTCAAATCAGTTCTGCATGACTCAAACTATTAACCCTTTGCAACTGCATCACTTATCGCCATGACGGACTTCAGAAGGGTATATTTCAGGAGGCTAGGGATTAAAACAGGGATTTTAATGGTTAAATATTAAGTTTAGATTGACAATGGTATATTAAAACCATTAATTTAAGTAGGATTTTTCATCATTATATCAGGTTTAAAATTTCAAATCATAGTTGACTTAAAAATATCTTAAAAGTAAAATTAAATGTAACTTACACACATTTGCTGCTGCTGTTGTAAATTGTGACAAGAAATTTTGCCTACTTGGAGAAGAGCTACAAAGAAATAATTTTGTATATATAATAATCTGCGAATGGAACATATATATATATATATATATATATATATATATATATACATACACACACACACATAGATACACATTTATCATAGAACCCCCAAGAATTTAAAACTACTTTCACCCCTGATCGTTACCCAATGTTGGACCCAGCCAGTAGATAAAGCAGTACTCCAGGTATGTGTGGCCACTGCAGGGGAACTGAACAGAGAAAGCCAGGGCGGG